TGATTTGATTTGATTTGATGTGATCTGCCTGAGCTAAATAAAGTTTCGAGTCACTTGAGTGTGTGTGCTGGGCAGGAGGGGATGGGGGTGGAAAGCAAGATGCGGAAAAACGACGAGCTGTTACTGGAATATCTCAGGTGTGTTACATAAGGGGCGGAGCTTTAACTCTGTAAATATCAATATTAAATATAATTTTTGCTATATCTGGCATTTCCGCATAATGTATTCCTCACCAGAAAAAGCTGCATGTGTGTGATTGTAAGCAGTAGTTTTTCACATTGATGATGCAGAGTGAATGAATAATAATACATCACATTTAGCGTCACAGGGTTAGTAACTGTCATATATTCAGAGCTAAAATAAGGAATTAATATTAACAAAACAAAATATGCTTTCTCTTCCACACATGACAAAAATAGACTTCCACCCTGTTATTAACGATAAGATAAGTCAAGACAAGATAAGGTAACCAGTTTACTGCTATGTAATTTTTTTTATTTTGATTATTTTGATTGTATTTTAAGGTTGTCTCAGTCATTTGTTTCAGCAGGAGTAAAATCCCAAAGCCAATTTAAATGAATTCCAAAGTCTTTATTTAAGAGAGGAATCTTTTCACTTATTGTAACTCACCCTTCTTCCTGCTCGGCATAAACTATTTGTCACTCCCTCGTTTTCTAGTGAACATGTTGGAATGTGCAAGGGATTTTTGATATGCTGCTCTGCAGAAGGAACTAGCGGAGATAAAGTGAGAAAGGCTGGCCTGTATAGAGTGTAAAGATATTTTAATGCGAAACAAAATTATGTGTAGCATTTGGGTTTGACATCAGGGTGTTTTAAAGGCACCAAAATCAGTTTTTATTGGTCAAATTTAGTTGAAAAATATGTAATTTGTAACAAAAATGACTGACAAAGAAAACACTTATTATGTTAAATTTTAAACACAGCACAGCAACAATAGCATTTACAGATGCACAAAAAAACTTAGAGTACACACTGTGTCAGTCATGTCCTCAAATTGTTGGTATGTATCTATGTGTCCTCACACACAATGTTAGGATTTTAGCATGTATACTGTATTCATACCTTTGAAAGTGGCAGATTTACAACACACATAGCCTGTCATCCTCCTGAATGACAAGCTATGTGTGTCCTTATTTTCCTTATTATGTTGAGACAGAAATATCCTTACTCGTTCTTTTTTTTAGTGCTTTAAAGATAACATGCTGAAATTGTTGTTTAAAAATTGTGGTGCTTATATGTTGGCTGTGTTTGTTTCCAGAGTTTGATGGTTGTGCAGTTTGATTTTGGCCCTTGTGTGTCCGTCTTCAACCTCATGCTGGTGTTTGAGGAAGTGTTGATGCTTTAAATCAGACAGATCATTATTATTCCCTTTATTTAAAGCTCCCTGTGTCTGTTGTGTGTTGCTGAATCCCCACATGTCGCAGAGTGCAAACAGACGAAATCTGAGACTGATTTCACACGGGGTCTTAAATGCCATTTGGGAGTTGGCAGTGTTTGTACCTTTCCATTTTAAACAATGCTGGAAATGTTTCTGAAAACCATTTACAGAGAAAACGAGAAGCTGTTACTGCTGTTTTTACATTTCTGTTTCTCATTATTTTTAAATTTGGACAAAGCCAAGGAAGGTGTTCTTCTTTTGTCCCCGGCCTTGTAATAAGTAATGTTGAAATATTGCTTCAACTCTACTGCCACAGTCACACTGAGGTTTAGTTTAAGTGGCTTTTCTCTCTGCATGTAGTCACATCCGTCCCACCTTTCATTCATGGATAAATAAACAAGTGTGCTGTTGATTTAAAGCTGCCTTAGGCCTTCATTAGGAGCTAAGCTGTTTCTGAAAAGGGTTTCCTGCCTGCTGATTCAGACTGCATTCAGACACTACAAGCTTCATCTGCATCACAACACAAACAGATTAGGCTAATAGCATTAGTGGATCTCACTGGATCATTATTATCATTATCATTATTATTAGTTTAACTTCTGCCTCAGTCTTGTAACAGAAGGATGTAGGGTTTTTTTACTGTGAAAACTAAACTGATTTTCTACTTTGCTAATTTAGAAGAAAAGGAGTCAGTGTTGCTTTGTATTTGTTTCATGGTGGCAGTTTTCAAAAAAAGACTTCCCAACCTAATCTCACACATACACTCATACAGTTTATCATCTGGGAGAGAAACTTACACATTGGCACAAATGCTGTCAGATGAGCTGTTTTTGTTTCCTGTGAATTTTGCAAATACTTTTGCCGTCTTGTATTTGACTGGAGTTAAATATTTATGCTGTCTTTAGGTCACACAGACACAATTAGCTGAGATTAGCTCCTATGTGGAACCTCAGGGAATCTTATTCACATGGAAAAAAAGACTTCTTAGTTCTAATTGGTGACCATTGTAAACCCCCATTCCCATTTAAACCAGCAGTCATCAGTTTGTTGTCCTGCTGCTTCATGCACCTCAGACTAAAACAGGCACTGGCCTCTTCAGTTTATTTTAGACCACAGAGCTAAAGGACCACAGTGCGATCAACTACTGCTTGATTTTTGGATTTGTTCTTTCTTTACAACGACATAAGATTGGTGTTTGCAGGCTGGGAGCCCTCGGCTTTCAGGGTTGTTTATAAGTCAGAGTAATCATTATGGCGTCTGTGACAGTTGAAAGCAGTCTGGCATTTTCAATTGATCGGATTCTGGGTTTGGAAAGACCCGGAAACTGCCTGAAACTCCACAGACCCTGGGCAGGTAAGGAACAAAAGGTCTGAAGAATTAGTAATGGGTAGTCTGTTCGTTACTGATGAAGTGCTAACCTCTGGTCTGTAATATGACATGATTTCCAAAGCATTTAAAAACAAAAAAATCTAAACTAAACCAGTTATCATATGTAATATTAAAGTTTAGGTTTAAAGGTTCATTTTTGTCTGTTTTTTTGTAGAAAAAATTGCAATTAGATTAAACTGAATCACAACATTGATTCATCTTGGTGTCATTATAAAACTGCTCAGTCTGTAATTTTTGTAACATAACATCCTCCAGTTGATACTAAACCTTGAGTGTTTCAGTCTGACACTTTCAGTATTTTTTTAAAACCTGACTGGGGGCGATTCCTTACGTCCCATTGCTGTAACAGGAATCAAACTGAGTTTATTAGTCTGTTTAAATAAATCCATTGCTTTTGAAGAACATGCATTATTTTCTCCTCTTTCATGTCTTTCTTTGTTCTCCTGCTTGTTCCTTTCTTGTTGTCCTTCATACCATGTTTCATTTTTATTTTACAGTTGAGCAGTGGCAACAAACTGGAAGTAACCCACTAAACTAAGCTTTCTCTGGCTCATAACACAAAACTATAAATCAAGCCAAAGTAAATTAAACATTTATCTACATAATTTTTCTTAAATTATATATTTCATATTTTGCATTTGTAAGATTCATCAATGTGAAAAGTAACTCTTACTTCCAGTGTTACTTTTAGAATTTGGCTTAATGCTGCCTAAATGTTGCGTTTGATTATAATTGCCGCATTAATGTGAAATGCTCTTTTATTTTTTTCCATTAAACCAGAAAATAATGTGGAGAGCGAGAACAGAGAACAACAGCAGCAGCTAAACTCCCAGCCGACATCAAACTGGTATATCGGACGCAGACCACGCACTGCCTTTACCACCAGCCAGGTAATCAGTTTATCAGCCAGTTCTTCAATAATTCTGTTCAATCATGATACAGTGATCACAACATCCATCTATTATAGGAGGAAATACAGGTTTTTTTTCTGGGTTAATATCATTATGTGCATCCTCCCAGGTGAATATACTGGAGACAGTGTTTCAGGTGAATTGTTATCCTGGTATTCAGCTGAGGGAACAGCTGGCAGAGAGACTCGACTTGGATGAGGACAGAATACAGGTAGCTTCATACAGAATATTGAAAAACTAAATGTATTACCGCTTCACGTTTGTCATTCCCTGCCCTTGCTCCTACTACATTTAATTTCAGGACCCAGTGATTGTGCTTTTCCTCTGAAACTCCTTAGATTTCATCCATCAAACTGTTTGCAGGTCTTACAGGTCAGCTGTGAGGTTTAAACACTACATGTTAGAAAACAGATCTGGATGTGTGTGCTTAAGTTTCACATAGTCCTGTGCCATCTGCCATGTTAGAGTTGGAGTTGATAAATAATTTGATTCAATTGAGCTCAGTTTCATTTATATAGCACCAGATCAGAACAACAGTTGCCTCAACGAGCGTTATATTGTAAGGTAAAGACCCTACAATACTACAAAGAAAACAGAAAACCCCAACAATCATATGATCCCCTATGAGGAAGTGCTTTGGCAACAGTGGGAAGGAAAAACTCCCTTTAAACAGGAAGAAACTTCCAGCAGAACCAGGCTCAGGGAGGAGCGGCAACTAAACCAACTGAACTGAATTTTTACCCAGACTATCAGAACTATGAAAATGAGAAATAACATGTCTGCACTGTTGAAAAGTGTTTTAATAAACAGTACCAAGCAGAACTATCTTAACTGTTGCAAAATAAGTTTCTGTGTCATGTAGTTACTTTTTTAAGGCTGGGGCTTTGTGTTTAGAGTATCAGACTTAGTGCATATAATAATGTGTGTATATATAAGAAACTTAGAATAACCCAGTTTCTCTCTCTCTCTCTCTCTCTCTCTTTCTCTCTCTCTCAGATCTGGTTTCAAAATCGACGCGCCAAACTGAGGCGTTCGCTCAGAGAAACCCGACTGCAGCTGGTTCAGACAGCTGTGGCTGACCTTGGGGTCGGGCACGAGGTCATTGGTCATCTGAAGGTCAGGTTGGGCAGGCGAGGTGACAGAGAGCTCCTCTCTCAGGTTGAGGCAGAAAAAGAAGGCTGACTAAGGACTTTTTCTGTTCCTGCTCTTATGCAGGATTTATTGTTCTACTGCTCCACACATCATCAGTTTCTTTCAGGTTCTGTCTTTTGTCTTTCTTCTGTTCAAAAACATGACAGTGAAAAAAAAATGGAGACAATTTAATGTCAGAGTTGTTTCGCACTGTTTTATCTCAGTTAGTGGTACAAATACAGGTAATTGTTTTTTTTGGCACTGAAAATAAATTCCTCAAGTTGAACATACTGATAAAATATAATGTTTGACATTCTGGAGATTTGGAAGTAAAAATGTTTAGTGAGATCTGCTGTAGATTGGTCTGTGTAATGCTGTCTCTGTATAATCTTATTGTGTCTCACTGTGTAAATAGGTCTCTATTTTATTAGCAATGCACATTTTGATTAAAAACGATTAGGCTATTGAATCTTGTGTTTGTTTGTTTTTTGCACCGTGTATCTTTACTTTAGCATATTTGCAGCAATGGGCCAGCATTTATATTTTGTCCTTTAAGTCTTACTGAGAGCTCAAAATACTCCTTACTAAAAGCTACTTTGACTATACATCGCTTTGAACATTTTTATCTAGATGAGAATCACCAGTTAGCCTAACATGTCTTTGAAATTTGGTAGCATCCAGAGAAAACCCATGCATCTGCGACCCCCAGGGAGAACATGCAAACTGTTCTAACCTTCATCCTTCTTGCTATGAAGCAACACTGCTCACCACTGCACCTCTTCCACAAATCCTCAAATGTTGAGTAATTATGTCCACACTCAAGCATGAAATTTTTGTAGTGCTTCCATCTCAGATTTTGACTTTTGCAACACCTACTATTAATATGTCTCTTTCCCATCCCTACTGTGTCTCACAGGGACAGTTAACTATGCGACTTGGGCAGGTTTGCCACCTTATTAGTGGTGAAAGACTGCGTAACAGTGAAGCTGGGCCTCTCTCATTCAGCCAAAATAGCTCTCACCCAGTACCTCTGGAGTGTTGTATCTGATGTTACGATGTGGGCACTGATCTTTTGGGTTCTCTGGGTTGCAGGATGTATGGATTAAGCTTGTTCCACCTCAAAAGATGCATCACTGGATTTGGTTCTGGGGAGTCTGGAGATACGATTAATAATTTAGGCTCTTTCTCAGTTTTTTTCAACCCATTCAGGGTTGCGGTGGGACAAGCATTTAAGAGCATACAACCTCACCATCCACCAGTCCATCACTGGGCTAACAAAGTGAGACAGCATTTTTATGCCTTAAGCCAAATTAGAGCCACTGAGTAACTTGAAACCACAGTGCTGTGCCTGAACCCAGACAGGAACTGCAAAAACATACAAGCTCCTTCTGGTGCCTGACATTTGATACATCAGCTGAAACAAGTATGAATAAGTATCAACATATGTGGGAAATATCCAAAAAGTATCAAAGCATAAAAAAATTACAAATAATTGGCCACAGTCAAATAAATAATGAATTTCTTGATATCTTCTGTATTAATGAATCGTTAATATTTCTTTCTTATTTATTTATTTATTACTGGTGTTACTTATAATGCAGTTATTGATTGTCAATAGCCTTAAATGTAACTACTGATAATCACCACAAAGGTGATTATTGTTGTAAAATGTATGCAACTGTATGTAAACCAGCGTGTCCACAGGTAGACCTTTGAATAAAGAAAACAAGGAGCACAGGGAGGAAGAAAAAAAATACGCGGCCGACGCTGATTGGCTCAAGCTTGCCCCTCGCGTGTCCCGGAAGTGAAAGTTGAGGGCTGGTGTGTGTGTCTGAAGGAATCTGTCGGTAACATTTTTTGTAGCGGGTGATTGGAGGTTTAGAAAATGGACACGTTAAATAAACTGAAGCAGTTTGACGCTTATCCTAAAACTCTGGAGGATTTCCGAGTGAAGACGTGGGGAGGGGCGACTGGTGAGAGGCTTTAATTTGTCACAGAGCAGCAGCCATTCATACATACAGCCTGTTAGCTGCAGCGGCTAACAACAAAGCTATTTGCTTCATTTCTCCTATCAGTGCTCAAATACAGTACACATGAATAAAGTTACAGTCTTAGCATGCCTGTGGCAACTCAAGGGAAGCCTGAAATCAAGCAGAATAGATGTCTGTAATATTTACATTTCCGATAACAGAGTAGCGATGCAGCTAGCTCAGGAACAGTTGAGCATAAAGTGTGGGTGCAAATGCAGAGAAACCGGTTTAAAATCACACATTTTGAGGAGTTTGTGTCACAGGATTTTTGTGAAGGACTTGTTGTGGATTTTGCATATTTTTACAAGACGGATGACTAGTTTGTAATCATTCTCCTGTGGTTTTTATAGAGTAAAACTTTATTAATTCGAGAGAGGGAATTCAAGAGGTAGAAACAGATGTGAAAAGGCTTGAACTAAATTAATTATACTATGATGACAATAACATAAGAGATGGGACAAGCATCATTAGAAAGGTTATATACAACATATCTATTACAGCGCCGTATGCAGACATTTGCTTAGAGACAGGCTTGTTATCATGATGTGTGAACTACAACAGTAAGTATTGTGCAGTTTGGTAGGAACTAAAATTGTGTAGAGGATGATTTATAAATAATGTGAGGTATAGTAGACTTTTTAGTCTTTTTGATCTTCCAACAGGGCTATTGTTATTTATAATCTTGGGATTTTCTTTTAAACTAGTGACTGTTAAATGACTGTCAAAACACATTGTTTTGTGAATATGGAAGAAGAAGAGGGATGTATTTGTATCATCTAAACCAGGGGTGTCAAACATAAGAATCACAGTAGACAGAGGTTCGCCTCACATTTGGACCTTTGTGTTTACCACTTTCATCGTTTTTCCTCAATTGCTAATTCATTTAATTTTCAAACAGTTTTTGCTTTTGCTGTTCAGATTTAGGGACTGGAAACTACTTGCTTAGATTTAGGGGAAAGTTAGAACATGATCCTTGAAAAAAGAGCATTTGGGAGCATCAGTTCCGTCTAACTGTTGACCCAGAGTGTCATTCAGTGATGCCAAAGGACAAGACCAAATTTCAATATCGCCTTGACACTGCTGTGAAGCAGCAGTGCTAATCACTGTACAACCATGCTGCACAATTGAGTACATTATGTATATTAAATGTATTCTGTAAATATTAAATCTAATGGTGTCAAAAATATCTAGACCAAGATGTAGTTATTCAGCAGAAGATCTTTGATCTATTCCAGCTGAGCTGACTGTGGTGTAGGCTAGTTTATGAACTTATTAGTGCCATATTATGTATGTATATATGCAGTCTGTATATGCGAGAATTAGGTGATATATGAATATTGGATTACTTTTGGAAAGAAGGTACAAGTAATAATAATGCTGCTTCTTTTCCATGTTATTGTTGTACAGATATTCCTTTCATGTAATCACTTGGTTATCGTTCAGAGTTTTCTCATTATACAGAAATGTGATATTGTGTGGTGTTAAAATGCATACTTCCTCTGTGTCTCTGCAGTGACTATAATCAGTGGTGTCATCATGCTAATCCTGTTTGTCTCTGAGTTGCAATACTATCTGACTAAAGAGGTGAGTTTATCCACTTTATTTTGATGTCCTCTTTAGATGGTGTCATCCTCCACCCTGTGAAATTAAACCCAACACCTGGCACACAAAGTAAAAAATAACAGGTTTTAGGTCCAAATCTGTTTTTTTACACTTGTTTCTGAGCTTCTACATGTGCAGGCCAGTGCTCTAATCAAACATGTCAGAAAATTCACTAATAGAAATTTCACAGCTATTTTTGAATGTGCAAATTCTAGATAGTATTCTAGAACTAGAGCTAAATCTTTTCAGTAAAATGTAAGAAAATATTTACTGCCTTGTCTCTAAATATGATGATTATTTTTGTTCTTGTTCTCATATATGATACCAAATGAATACTTTTGGTTACAGCAGGCAACTTAAGTCTCATACTGGGACTTAGTGCAGTGTCTCAGTTTATTTCTCCTTGATAAAGTAAATTTCCAATTAAATTTCCATTATGAATGAATCTATATTTATTATCTGCAAAGAACCATAATCATAAATCTGGTTTCCTCTGATACCAGTTAACTGACACTGATGACGTGGTTTCCAAGATCCTGATTGTGTTAATTTTTTCTACCGATGATTAAAGGTACAGACTGTGGTGATAAAGGTGGCCTGAAATACCTGTTAGACTGCTCTGATGAGTCTGCACATGTAAACAGTGAAATAGACTAAAAGTCTACACACACATAAGTGTGAAGGACAAACAAAAACAATTTTTTCCCAGGGTTTTCTCAGAAACTCTACTGTGTTTAGTGCAGAAATGAAGACTAACTTTCTGTTTCTTTGGTGTTTAAAAAAACAAAAAGCATCAGAGATAAATTGTTCCCTGACTGATTAAATATGTTTGTTTTAACTGGTGTTTCTGTTTTACGTGGATGACTAAGTTAACAATCACCTGTGCCCGGCAGGTCCATCCTGAGCTGTACGTCGACACGTCACGGGGAGACAAACTCAAAATCAACATCGATATTATTTTCCCTCACATGCCGTGTGCCTGTAAGTTCTCTTTTCTCAAAAAGCTCCAGACTGATGAAGTTAGCATGCTAATCATAACATATGTTAATGATAAAAACCTACATCTGCTTTTTCTCTTGGCAGATCTTAGTATAGATGCAATGGACGTGGCTGGTGAGCAGCAGCTGGACGTTGAACACAATCTGTTCAAACAGCGGTTGGATAAAGAACTCAAACCTGTCACCCAGGAGGCAGAAAAGCACGGTAAAAGATGATGTTACGCTCACCATTAAGGTGCTGATACTGCTCAGCAGATTGGTCAGTGTGTGGAGGTGTGCATATTTGGTTTGGCAGCGCAGTGGATTAACAAATAATGTGATGATTTTTTTGTTAGATTGGTTTTGTTCAGTTTTTTCTTTTGTTTGCTTGTTTTCTTGTTGCAGAGCCTCTGCATTGCAAAATTCTTTGGGCATAGTTTTAAAACAGACGATGAGTCAGCAAACTCTTTTCCTGCTTTTTTTTTTTTTGCTTCTCAAACATAAAAACATTCCAGTGATCACTGATACACACGTAAGATCTGTGACTTATTAATGTTTCCAGAGTCAGAAATATTGAGGAATTTTATAGTTTTGTCACTCCCTAAGAAAATTAAGAAACATATGACAAATCCAGAAGTCTAGTCGCTTCTCGGCATTCTAGTATAGAAAGCACCAATGACTGTGGGGAATTTTGGGAAATTCCTTTAAATGGAGCATCATTGGTCGACTGTTTCACTCTCACTATGGATGTTTGTTATTGGCAGAACACTAAAAATGAAAGATTCCAATTGGGGAAGCACCACTTGGGAAAAATGTTTCCATGAAGTGTTTTTAATTCCCAGATAAAGGAATGCATGGTGAAACTTGTTGGGAGTGTTTCTTTTTTTATTGTGCCAGGAGAATGAAAGCATTCTGAAAATGATTTACAAAGAGTGTCTTACAGTTCTTTGATGTATAAGCTCATATGTATTTCTTCTATAGAAGACCTCAGTCAACAATACTGTGAATGCAGGAGGCACCGCTACTTAAAAGCTGTTTGTGGCTCTTATAATATGGGAGCAGTTGAACCTTTTGTTTTGCTTAGATGCTGCTCAGGTCTGTTCTGATGTCAGATTTCAACTTGAGGATGATCATGGTCAAAACATTGACTAACAATATTGTTGCAGTATCTATAGAAAATTGGAAATATTTGTCAGTTTCATCTGTAACTTTGCTTATGTGGTCTCATTATTAACTTCAAAATACAAATATATGAAGATGACAAGAATCTGTACAAAAAGAGCATTTCTTATATTTTTTATAATATTGTCATATTTGCATTACTGACAGGATATTGGGTCTCTTTACTGACATATATTTAAAAAAAAAACCCATACAACTATGTAATTTAGAAAGGGTTTATCTTCCTCAGAGTTATGTGCTGAAGTAGGGATGTTGTTTGGCTGCTAATCATCATGATTATTTTGTGTTTTATTGTTCAGAGCTCGGTAAGGCTGATGATGGCGAAGTGTTTGATCCCAGCACGCTGGACCCAGACAGATGCGAGAGCTGCTACGGAGCTGAAACTGAAGATCTCAAGTAAGACACAAACACAGGCTGCTCTTTCTGTCTCTGTTTACTGTATGACCCTGTGTTAACTCGCCTTGGTTCTTCTTGGTGTGTGTGTCCAGATGCTGCAACACCTGTGATGATGTGCGCGAAGCGTATCGGCGGCGAGGCTGGGCATTCAAGAGTGCAGACACCATCGAGCAATGTAAAAGAGAGGGTTTCACTCAGAAGATGCAGGAGCAGAAGAATGAAGGCTGTCAGGTTTACGGCTTCCTGGAAGTCAACAAGGTATGAAGTCTTACACGTCATCCTTAATAACATGGCAGGGCTGTCAAAGATCAGCAGGCTTGTTATCTCTCGGGAGGACATCCAGTGTTCAGAACGAGAATACTACTGAGATGAGTAGTCATCAGTAGTATGTCATACCTGGGACGACACAACTCAGAAAGTCTCAGAATGATACACAACTGTGTAACTTTATGTTGACGTAGCTGGTTCTTGTATTGCAAGATCCAGAATTTCCAGCCTATGAAGAAACTGTTTTGAAAGTTATTTATAGACTTACATAAGTAAATGTCACTCTTATTTGTCTGTGGCTTTTAATTCGCCATTTCCTTGAGCACCAGTTTCAGTCATAAGCTGGCCTTATTTGCCTAATGCAGCAATGTTGTGCCCTGTTATTGGGACCACTGTGTGGAAGATGATCTGGGATGATCTTTGAGCAAAGTTAAAATATAACAAGATAATATTAAAAAAACAATTAATGTAGCGTTTTTGCAAGAAAGAGTTTAATAGGAATAATATGTTATAAATGTAACTGCGGTTTAAACAAAAACTCCTTTGCAATGCTATCACTTGACATTTTTATCAAAGTGAATTCAATAAAGGGATATATCTATGTATACATATGTCTTATGTTTTGTGGTGGGGTTTTTTATGCTTTAGGTGGCAGGAAATTTCCACTTCGCTCCAGGAAAAAGTTTCCAGCAGTCTCATGTCCACGGTAAGCTGCCACTCCATTCAGCTCACAGACACACCTAACCAAAGGTTTTTAACACCCTTAGTTTCTTTTTATTTTACTAATTGGCAGAGCTTTGTAAGTAATTATAGTCAGAAGCCCAAAATACCTTTAAAAAGCCAGAATCTATAGAACTGTTGGCATCTAAGATATGCATCAAGTTTCTAAATAAGAAGCTTTTCGATGAATTGATGTTTCTATAGGCAAAGACACCCAACATATTTTATCACAGACAATTCAGCAGGGATCTGAGACCGAACACTGTAGTCTGGAGTGTTTCACCTGGATTTCATCACCGCGCTGTTTGAACGACACCTAAATTAAACAGAAAGAATCACTGTGACTATATTTTTCCAAATAAATTTGGAGTGACTAGCAGACAAGTTTACGATGCTATCATAAGGGTGTTTATAAACCTTTGATGGGTATGTATATTCATCAGTCTCTGTCTGTATTTATTCATTTATCCAGCCATCCATCAATCAAATGTCCACATTGAGCCACACATCTAAATATGTTCATTAAAAACAGCTGCAGAAAATCATGCACAATAAGCTAGCTTATTATTTTACATTTTGAAAAATGTAAAATAATAAGAATAAATATAAATTATTTTGGCTTTAGCATTTATTACTTGTGAAATAAATATGACAGCAATTTGTCACTATTCAGACTGCTTTGTTGAGAATACTCATTTTAGCTCAGTGATGAAGATTTTGACATACAGTAGCTGGGATTGCTACAGTGCAGTCAGCTGATCTTGTCTACCAATACAGGATCTGAGACACGGACTCACCGGTCAGCGGATACAAAATGTAAATTTAGGCTATTTTTTTTTTTTTTTGAAAAAGGCAATGGTCAGTGTGTTATATTATCTAAAATCCATTAAGTTCTGAAATCATAAGTCATTTATTTTGAAAAGGTTTTATGATTTCACAGGCAGAAAACAATACATTCTGTTATTCATACTTTGCAATTAATGGAAAGAGGTACAAGTGACACTACATGTCATTCGAGTTGTTTTTCATGCACTGCCTGGGAGTTTGACTGAACCCACATCAGGTTTTACAAAGCTGACTGCAGTGTTTCATGATGGGTGTCATATTCTGTACTCAGAGGTTTCTCTTTAGAAGATAGCTGAACTTTGAGTTTGTAGATAAACCAAAGATTTTTTCTGGAGCTAACAAATCTGTTCTGAACTGTTTGTAGCAGATTTATTTCGGCCAAAGTACAATTTTCTCATCATTTTACCTCTCACATAGTGTTTGTCTACGTTTTTATTCCTTTTATTCATTTCTTCCTTGTGTTTCTGTTGTGTTTGCCATCATTGTGTATGCATTTTGCTCATTATTGTGACTGGAAGTTATTTTTTTGTCTGCCTGCTAAATGTTTCCCTCATATGTACAGTCACCCCATGAGGTCTAAGACACTTGTTACGATTTATGCTTTGACTGGTTCATTTAGTAAAATTGCTTATGTGTACTATCAGGATGTGGAAGTTGGACTTTTAAAAATGTTCTGTTTCAAATTAAAATGAAACATCTTCAGCTAAGACACAATAACAGTGGGTTAGGGCATTTCTTATTCTCATTGATGACTTAGACCTCATGGAGTACCAGAGCAGGAAATTAACAGTAGCCAGCTACCACATGCTAAAAACATTTATTTTTATTTGGCAAATCTGCCACAAAACTACTTCTGATCTGACTCTAAAACTGTCCGAATACCAAATTTAAAAGTATAAAGAATAATGTGTTTTAGTAAAAACCTGGCTGGTAAAACAGTGAAGGAAGCTGACGTTTTACTGCACTTTCCACTGTTGATT